CTAGCGCCTTTCTAAACCATGATACTATGAATAACAAGATAGAATCTTCCCGTAGCACAAAATCGGTCGTGTTTGCGCATGCCGTCATTGGAGAGTAGAATTTGAATTCTTCTTAAAATTAAATGGGATTTGTATGCATTCTGTGATGAAATTACTAGACGAAAATAAGTTAAGAAGTTTAATAATTACAATAATCGTACACATAAGGATATCTTCAAACTATTTATTAAAGATTATTTATTGATACATACAAAAAACTGACATTTCGAACGTGTAACTCTCCAATGACGTCCCGACTTATGCGCAATATCTTATCTTCTTAGTCATAGTATCATGGATTGAACAGCAATGGAGATGGGCAACCCTGACGGACTCATTTTTTTATTTAATTGAATTGGTATACTGTGCATCCACTGGTACTTTCGCCTTTTGTCCTAAATATAAATTGATTATTATTCTTATATTCTCTTTATCCACTCCGACTGTTCTTCGCAGGGTATGAACCATTTTCTCGGAATTGCACATGTCGAACACTTTTGCGTAGCCCAGTGAACAAATACACTTCTTCTTAGGGTGCCCTGAAGCTGATGGGATTATCAGATGATGACCTATGCAGATTCTGTCACCTCGAAGAAGAAACAGCAGAGCATATTTTATGTCAGTGTGACAGTCTGGCAAATGTGCGGTTTTTTGCATTAGGAGAAGAAAATCCACCGGCAAATAGCTACATGGAAGATACAGTCTGGAAGCTACTAGACTTTATAAAAAGAATCAGGCTAGAGAATGTTATCTAGGACTAAAGGACCACAATAGATCTGAAAAGGTTGCAGTGGAATAGGCCGAAAGGTCACCTCTCTTAATCTAATCTAATCTAGGGTGCCTGTCCGTTCCGAATGTTGAACGAATAACTGTGTCGAGGTGTTTCTATACGATGTTCTCAGGTTATTAAGTAACGTCACCTTGCAAAATGCATTGGAGTAGCTCATATCTGCCTTGATTTCTCAATATATGTCCCAAGTACTGCAGCTTACGGCACTTCACGATGATGACCAAATCCGTGGGTGTGTACATCCTCCGTATTACTTCTTCATTGGTTACTTTGTCTGTGCATGGTATCTTCAGGATCCTTCTGTATAATCATAGCTCAAAAGCCTGAATCTTAAATAGAGTTTCCGCCTTCAATGTCCATGTTTCTACTTCGTACAGAAGCACTGAGTACACGTAACATTTAAAGAGCCTTATCTTTGTTTCTAGGGTGAGGTCATGGCTCTTGAACACAGAGGTCATAGTCAAGAATGCACTTTTTACATGAATGCATACAGTTTCCAAGTAGTTGTACTGTTCGATACGTTCAATTCTCATTTGGTTCACATACAGATTTCCTCTATCTGTTTTCCTTGCTGATTGTACTTGTCAATATTTTGACCTGAAACAAATATACCTGTCATAATAACGTCTCTATAATCACTGAATTATGACCTGCGTTGCGCACAGAGCATCCCGTGTTCCCTATTCTGAACCCTATTTGAGTTTTTCCCATATTCTCCTCACACTTACTGTATAATGGGCATGAATAACTTAAAAAATTTATGAACATGGCTCATTAAACTAATTGTGCGAAATTCATCGCATGATTTAGCGTTGTTTCTTTAGTAATGTAACAAATGTAGACATTAGCAATCTTCTATTATCTGGCCGTTGTTATAGTCCCAGAAGGGAAAATCAAAACAGCAGTTAATTCTGTGAAGGGCGGAAGATCCTCACCCCTGGTGTAATACCAATTAAAATTGTTAAATAGGGAGTCATTAGTTAACCGCATAAAGGACTTAGTTACCCATTGTTTGTCTCAAAATAACATACCAGATGAATGGAAAACATATTATAGTAGCATGATACGAGAAAAGACGAACCTAAATAACTACAACGATATGAGCTGCCAATTCCGAGTAGGTTTTTTAAGGCCTTTAAAGCTTTGAAAAACCTGCGCAAAGAAATTTAAATGAAAAAAGATAGCAGATTTAAAGCCTTTAGGTATTCTTTGGATAGAGGTTCTAACTTTCTATTTATCTATCTGTTAGGAAAAAAGAGTGTTCAAAAGATTGGAAATACATATTTGCTTCATTAATTTCAAAAAGTCTCATACGTGTAATTAAGGAATTATATCAAAAATTATCAAAAATTTCTCATACGTGTAATTAAGGAATTATATAATAATAATGTATCAACAAAGAACTAACTAGGGTTATATTTAATATTTTAGTCATCATCAATCAGCCAATCGCGTCCACTGCTGGACATAGGCCTCCCTCAATTCTTTCCAGTGTTCTCTACACTGGGCCGCTTGTAGCCAGTTTCCCGCTACACGTTTAATGTCATCGGTCCATCTAGTCGGTGGTCGTCCTCGGCTTCTTTTATAATTTCTGGGCCTCCATTCCATAATACGTCTTGTCCACCGTCCATCTTGTGTTCTGGCTAAGTGCCCTGCCCAGTTCCACTTAAGCGTCGTGGTTCTTTCGATGACGTCTTGAACTCCTGATCTTCGTCTGATTTGTTGGTTTGTTATGTGGTCTCGAAGGCTCACGTTCAGCATTGCACGTTCCATGGCTCGTTGTGTAACTCTAAGTTTATTCGCAGATTTTTGCGTGAGTGTTAAAGTCTCTGCTCCATAAGTTTGTACAGGTAAAACACATTGGTTATAAACCTTTCGCTTGAGACACATGGGAATTGAACTTTTTAGAATATGGCTTAATTTGCCAAATGCTGCCCATGTTAGACCTATTCGCCTCTGTATTTCATGTGTTTGATTGTCTCTGCTTATTTTGATTTCGTGTCCCAGATATTTGTAAGTGTCTGTTTGTTGTATGGTATTATTGTCAATAGTTATATTTCCACTCATTACGAGATTTGTTATAATTTTAGTTTTCTCAAAGTTTATCTTTAATCCTGCTCTTTCAGACAGACTTTTAAGCGAATGCATCATAGAAACTGTATCATGTAAGTTATCTGCGATTAATACAACATCATCTGCAAACCTTAGGTGATTTAATCTTTCTCCATCTATATTGATGCCCATATCTTGCCATTGAGTACCCTTAATATTGACTCTAGAGCTGCCGTGAACAATTTTGGTGAAATATTGTCTCCTTGTCTAACTCCTCGTCCTAAGCTGAATTTTTCTGTGTCTTCGTGCAGTCGTATACTTGATGTAGCGTTCTGATAGATGTTTTTGATTAGTGTCGTGTACCTGTAATCTATTCGGCTTTGATTTAGGGCTTCCAGTATTGTTTCAAACTCTACAGAATCAAAAGCCTTCTCGTAATCGACAAATGCAAGAACCAGTGGTATGTTGTACTCGATGCACTTTTCTATTAAGATCTTTATGGTATGCAAATGGTCATTTGTGCCATATCCTGCCCTGAAGCCTGCCTGTTCTTTGGGCTGATAGAAATCAAGTTTAGGTGTTAGCCTCTTTGTTAAGATTTTCATAAAGAGTTTGTACATATGTGTCAAGAGGCTGATGGGTCTATAATTTTCTAATTTAGTAATATCGCCTTTTTTGTGTAACAAGACTATTACTGCATTGTTCCAGTCTTTTGGAATTGTACCCGCATGTAAGCATTTAGTAAACAGTTCGCTTACTGATTTTAATAAAATTATTTTAAAATATTTTAGTGATGCGGTTTTAATGACGGGATGTATAAGTGGTGGATATAATTATGACCATTATACTTTTGGAGGACTAAAAATGAATGTAAGCAAAACGGAATCCACGGTGGTGAATTAAAAAGCAAAGTTTCCCGTGATCAAAACAGATTTGCGAACAATGACAAGGTTGATAGGTTCAAGTACCTGGAATTCGTAGTGATCAGTACAGATGGAATAAGTATCACAAACATATAACAAACGGTATAAAAAAAATGATGTACTAGCAAAGTATGGAGTCCAAATTCTGACACTCAAATGATCACATTATACATATAAGATGAAAGTACAGAAGAAAATAGTTGGGAGGGTCGAAAAAGGTTGACCAAAATGTTTTGGACACTTTCTAATAGATAATAATAGGTGATCACAAAGAACATTTAGATATGTATCTCTAGGACTAAGTAAGAGAGAAATACAGCGACCATCCTGGCAGACAGGAGAAGAATAATGATAAGCATTGGTCTCGAAGGGCAAGACGCATGGGGCTCAAGTTAAGATATCCAAGTGATTAGTACTGAGAAGGCAAATGGACGTGTTATGTATTCTGGAATGTGATAGAAACCCACATAATGTTTGTTTAGAAATATTTAGGCTGCAACCTAATCAAAACTGGTACAGCACACAAGAGATAAGGTCTCGAATAGAACAAGCTGGTGCCGCTTTTATAAAAATAAAGACTATTTTATGTAGCCGTGATATCAATTTATTTTCAAGAACCTGTATTCCTATGTTATATCTTCAATATATTAACGTATGGAATCGAAGTATGAACATTTACCGAGGAATAAGAAATTGCAAGCGCTCTATAGAAAACAATTAGAATACTTGCGAACATATATGCATAACAAATGAAACCAAGTGCTTCATCTTATCATGCAGGGTAAGACAGGTGGTAAAAGGAGTTCAGTGACATCGCAGAAGTTCAGGACTAAATAATGTGTGACAATGGTATGAAAAAATACGACAACATTATTCAGAAAGACGGTGCACAAAGTCCAAATAGCACTTGATTGCTAACATTTAGTGTTTTAAATCGACAGTAAACGTCATACAGAGGCGATATATCTCTGAGGTCAACTAAAGATTGCCTTTTTAATCTCTAATGTTTGTCGCAAACCGAACTACATTATATTGTGTATGATTTGGTTATGAAATTATGTAATGTGGTGTAACTCTGCAGTGTAAATTTTCTGAGCACTATTATCTCCTGCATCGTTTGTTTCTTTTTTTTTTATTCAAAGTGTGTTCTGTGAAATTTTTTGAAGTTTTAATTTAATTTTATTTAAATCTTATAGGTTAACCGTAGTTGACACACCTGGTTTCGGGGATGCAATCAATTGTGAAGAAAGTTGGAAAACTTGTGTCAATTACATCGATGAGCAATTCAGGCAATATTTCACAGACGAAAGTGGACTCAATAGGCGGAATATGCAAGATAACAGAGTTCACTGTTGTTTATACTTCGTGCCACCTTGGGGTCATAGGTAAGATATTATGTGATTTTTTTTTATATTTTCTTGTTTTATATAATTTATAAAAGCATTTTATATTCATTAGAATTCTAACATTTTTGCTGCACATATAGAATAAGTAATTTTGTTAAAGGCCTAACGTGAATGAATTCACCAATTCTAATACAGATCCATCCTTAATGTATGCATTATTAAGTTTATCCTTTAGTTCACCACCGTATTAACAAAAATTACAAATAATTCAATTAAGATGAGCGACCACGATCCATTTTAAATATTAATACGAAACCTGAAGCCTGTATCCGTCATATTAATAATAAATATGCGTATATACGTGAACATTGATATTGTGGCTGTAAGAAACCAAATAATGTTGTTGGTCTGCTGATATTTTCGGCGGAAAAATATGTTTACATTGGGCTATAATTACATAAGTCTGCGACCCAAAAAATTGTTTAAAATTTATTAAGTGATTTTCATACAGTTGTCAATGCTGATTTTGTAAATATTTTACAAAATGATATAATAAAGAGTAATTAGGAGAAACCACCAGTATTGTCATATCAGCACTTGTTCTTACCTTACCCCCTTTCCATCCACTTGCTGACTCAGTGTGTCATCTTTCTTGTCAGTGCGTATCTGTCGCGCTGCCCCTTTCCCTGTTATTATGAAGCAGTAGCAGTAAGCCTCTGATCTGGTACTGATACTGTCGTGTTTTAATGTAGTGACTGTTGTGAAGGTATTGTGTTGTGTAAACATTGGACAATTGCTACCAGAGGATGTATACACTCTACAGATTGCTTCTGTTACATTGGCGGTAACTATATTACGTTAAAAAGCAACAAAAAAACGTTTCCGATTTCGTTGAAAAAGTATATTTCGCTTATTTTGGTATAAAGTTAGGCAGTCAAGAAAAGCCTTGGGTCCACACAAAGTTTGTTCAGTGTGTGATGAAGAACTGTGGCAATGGTTTTAAGGTAAAAATCAGTCCTTACATTTTGGAATACCAATGGTTAGGAGGGAGCCCAAAAATCATAATGATGACTGCTATGTTTGCTCTTGTAACGTACGAGATTTCAATTTGAGAAACAAAAAGAATATTTCTTACCCTAGCATTCAATCAGCCATTCGACTTGTCGCCCATGGACCTGAAGTGCCAACACCCCTTCCTCCAGATTCTTTGGATGATATATATGATGATCAGAAGTCACTGTATCAGCAAGGTGACAGTGAAGGTGACAGTGATTGCTCCTATCCTGGCAAAATCGATCTCATTATATTCTCACAATTTGTACTGAATGGTTTAGTACGAGATCTAGGTCTTTCTAAAGAATCGGCAGAAGTTTTAGGATATAGATTGAAAAATAAACATATTTTGCCTCCGGATACATCCTATCTTGGTATCGATGTAGGGAAAAAATTTAGATCTTTCTTCTCCTAAGAAGATGACCTGGTATTTTGCAGTGATGTTTCTGAACTTATGGTATATTTCAAACTAGAATATGCTTATAATGAGTGGAGACTATTTACTGGTTCTTCAAAAGGAAGCCTGAAAGCTGTACTTCTACACAATGGTAATAAGTATGCTTCTATACCAGTTGGACACTCGGTTCACTTGAAAGAATATTACTAAAACCTTGACCTGGTTTTCCTTGACCTTGACCTTTGACCTTGATTTAAAAGTGATTCCGCTGCTTGGTCAACAATGTGGCTATACAAAGTATAGCCACTTTCTTAGGCAAACAGCATGGGATAGTAGAGACAGAAAGCAACACTGCATAAAAAAGCTTGGCCCTTGAGAGAAAGCTTACAAGTAGGGCTTAAAAATGCTAAGAGGGAAAACCTTGTGGATCCCAGAAAGGTGTCATTTCCACCACTTCACATTAAGTTAGGGATGATGAAACAATTTGTTTGATCTTGCAGCATTGACTTAAGAAGGAGAGTGTTTCAGACATCTTTGTGGATAGTTCATCCACGGCAAAGCTAAAGGAAGGAATCCTTATCGGACAGGATCTTAGAAAACTAATGACAGATCCCAAATTTGTACAAAATGAAAACAAATTAAAAGTCAGCATAGACATCTTTTAAATTAGTTGTTACCGGTTTCCTAGGTAACAAAAGAGATCCAAACTACAAGACAATCATCGTAGACACGATCGACAACTTTAAGAAGCTGGGCTGTAACGTGAGCATTAAATTTCATTTTCTCCACTCAAATCTTGACTACTTCCCAGCAAACATTGGTGATGTCAGAGAAAAGCAGGGCAAAAGATTTCACCAAGACATCAAAGAAATGGAAAGAAAATACCAAGAAAGATGAAACGTGAGCATGATAGCAGCTCGTGAGACTACAGCTAGATGATGAAAAGATATGATTCTCAAAAAGTTCACAGCCAAAAAAGCAGTAAAAGAAGCTTCGACAGAAAGCGAAAGCGTTATTATAAGGACTTATGAGCTTAAATAGAAATGTAAATGTACTGGAGATGTAGTTTAGAATATGATTAATAAATAAACTAAATTTTTTAACGTTGGAAAAAGGTGAAAAATTGCTAAAATTTTGTTATTATACCCAAACATACTTCCTACTTTGTGAGAAAAATTGACGTGATAGACAAAATTGGTTTGCATTTTTGAATCAGCGCTGAAAAAGTACATAAACGTCAGAAAATTTCAAACAACTTTCAAAAAATATTTTTTTGCAGGCCTATGGTATTTAAACAAGATTGTAGATCCCGTCGGGTCTATGACTCGGTTGGCTGGCAGGCATACTTCGATCTGCGTAGATTATGATATTCATTGTTCTATTTTCACATTTTAATACATCCCTTACTGATATCTTTCTGACTCCTACTCTGCCATGTCATGTTTATTTACATTTAATACAAAATAGTTTCCCTTTACCTTCGATTAGGATGGTAAGAAGTACTTTATCTGTGCCATGTTTATCGTGTTAATATTTGACTTCCTGGTTACAATATATACATACAAATATAGCAGCTAACTACTTCCTGATGTTAGTTAAGCCAGAACCAAACGACGTTTTTATATTAATTGTTATTGTTTGCGATATATTTATTGAAAACATATTTACGTTAATTAGTTTTTCATCGAATGGTCTATTAAAACAAAAGGTTTTACTACGGTATTCTAAAACTATAACATATACAGGGCGAGTCACGCTCAACGGGACGGAGCCTACCGGGGAAATGGCTAAAGATATTAAAAATTCCTTTTGTAGGAATACGTAGGTCAGTACCGGCTACAAATTAAAATTGTGAGATATATACAGGGTGTCCCAATTTGGCGTAATGATATAAACTTATACTTTTTTAAATGGAATAACTTATATTTCACTTTAATTTTGAATTCTACTGAACAAAATAATGTTACTTTATTCAACATTCCCTATACCTATTTTTGACCGGTTTCGATTTATTTGGGTTTTTCTGAAAATGTACTATTCGCGAAATTAATTAATTACACAATATCGCATTAATTATAAGTAACGCCTTTTGTCAATTAATTTTCAAGTGTCCATGCTTTACATCAGAATAATTACCAATTGAAATTAATCTACAGAGTGTTCGCAATACGAAGTGTCAATGCTGTATAATAGTTTGTGTAATTACTTTCTTAACTTAAATGGGACGTATGGGACGCATGGGACTTAAATGGGAGATGTATTTTACTTTAATTTTGAATTCTAATCAAAAAAATAATATTACTTTATTAAACAATCCTATACCTATCCTTTATAATTTTCGATTAATTTGGATTTTTTTTGAAAATGCACTATTCTTGAAATTAATTAATTACACTTTATTACAGAAAGTTAAACAAAACACACTAGAAAAAAATTAATTTACATTAAATGTTCAAAATGGTGTCCATTTTCTTCAATACATAACCTCACTCTGTGTTCAAAATTTTGTTTTACTCTTCTTAGAATTTCTGGAGTAACTGTTGCAAGCGCACTACGAATACGCGTTTTCATGTCTTCAGCGGTTGTAGGTGGAGTTTGATAAACCAAAGTTTTAATATATCCAAAAAAAAAGTCCATTGATGTTAACCCAGGTGATCTAGAGGGCCAATTGACAGCACCACCCCTACCTATCCACTTTCCGGGAAATTTTCTGTCTAAATATTCTATAACGTTACGCGTGTAATGTGCTGGAGCACCGTCTAACTGCAGAAACATTGTTCTTCTAATATTTAAAGGGATATTTTGCAAAAGTATCCAAAAGTCTCTTCGTAGAAATCTTAAAAACTTTTGTCCATTTAAATGGCCATTAAAAAAATACGGTCCTATCACATGTTCTCCTATTATTCCACCACATACATTAAGGGACCATCGGTTTTGTCGATCAGTACAACTATATTCATGTTGATTTTCCGTATTATAATAGTGAAAGTTATGTCGGTTCACGAGTCCATTATTATGGAAAGTAGATTCATCAGTGAACAAAATTTTATCAAAAAAATGTTGATCTGCTCCCGTTTTGTCTAGAAACCATAAACAAAATTCTAACCTACGTTCAAAATCAGTTCCATACAAATGCTGAAGCATTTGAATATGGTATGGGTGATATTGATATTTTTTAAGAATTCTGCATTACTAGTTTGGCTTACTTCAATCTCCCTATCCATCGTCCTTGTACTTGTATTTGGATTTTCAATAACTGATTGAATAACTTCTAATTCGGTATTTTCATCTTCAGTTATCGGATTTATTAATTTTCGTTTAGTATAAACAACACTGCCAGTTTCACGAAACCTTGTTAAGACTCTGTCAAATACTTCTTTACGAGGATGACGTTTTAAGGGAAATCTCTCAGCATAGACTCTTGATGCTAACAAACTGTTTTGATCACATTCACCCAGTATTAAAATTATATTTACTCGGTCTTCAATTGAATAATCTGCCATTTCTATTTAATTGAAAGCAATACAGTTAATACTTTGACAATTAGTTTGACAGCTAGGTACCTTTTGTTTTTTCATGGCATTCTTTATAATAACGAGCTATGTAATTAATGACATTTAATGTTCCAGGTAACATAATGCAAATAGATTTGAAGATACTAGATATTAATATAACATTTTATAATAGTTTGATTATAATAATTGTTACAACATTCAAATACAGGGTTTTTGTTTAAGTTAGAGTAGAACTTTATGTAATAAAGTGATAAAAATTAATTAATTTCAAGAATACATAGTGGATTTTCAAAAAAACGCAAATAAATCGAAAATTCTCAAAGATAGGTATAGGGATTGTTTAATAAAGTAATATTATTTTTTTAATTAGAATTCAAAATTAAAGTAAAATACAGGGTGTCCCATTTAAGTTAAGAAAGTAATTATACAAAATATGGTACAGCATTGACACTTCAGATTGCGTCTACACTCTGTAGATTAGTTTCAAATGGTAATTATTTTGATGTAAAGCATGGACACTTGACAATTAACTGACAAAAAGGCGTTAATTAAAATTCATGCGATATTGTGTAATTAATTAATTTCGCGAATAGTACATTTTCAGAAAACCCAAATAAATCGAAACCGGTTAAAAATAGGTATAGGGAATGTTGAATAAAGTAACATTATTTTGTTCAGTAGAATTCAAAATTAAAGTGAAATATATGTTGTTCCATTTAAAAAAGTATAAGTTTATATCATTACGCCAAATTGGGACACCCTGTATATATCTCACAAATTTTAATTTGTAGCCGGTACTAACCTACGTATTCCTGCAAAAGAAATTTTTAATATCTTTAGCCGTTTCCCCGGTAGGCTCCGTCCCGTTGAGCGTGACTCACCCTGTATAAAATGAATGTAAACTATGTCGTAGGTGTTGTTTTTAAGGGAAAAACATAAAAACATATGTGAAAATTTTAATTCTTTCAATTTAATCTATTTGTAGACTTGTTTCTAACAAGTGTGTATATATTGTTAATATGCTCTATGAAGATTGCTATGATAGTTTAATACATCTAAGATATATTTATTAGGGCTATAGTTGCAACAAGTCGGTATCTGCAAACAACAGTATGCGCAATATTACATCAAAAAATATATTATAATCAGATATAAAATAACCCTGGGTGCTCAAATAATAAAAATGAAATTCAGTATTCAGGAGTTATATTAGTCCCAGTTACGTTAATATTGAATCGAACGTGAAAGGAAATGTCTCATAAACCACAAAAATTGCCGTTTGTCTAAACTGTTAAAAAAACGGTACAAACAAAATGTCAAAGACAAAATACACAACAAAAGGATGATAAGGCTAAACTAATAAGTCTTCGTTTAGTTATGATTATGAATACTAATTCAATTATTGTTTATTTCTTTTTTTTGCTTGTTTCTTTTTGTTTGTTTATGTCACGTTTGTTCGTTCATAATTATTTCCTGACTAAGGTTCACCTTTAACTCTTCAATTGCTACTACTTTTTGAACTCTAGAGAATTTTAATCAGTTTTAGTACACCCGTTTAATCTGCTAATCATTTACATAACAGTTCGGTCGATCTACACTCTCTCTTAAAATGGTTTTATCAACACGGCCCTTTTAATCCAACAAGGATTCAAGGAATAACCATTTTGATGATCTGTATTAATATTATCATCGTATATCTGTATACTGTATATAATATAAAGATCATTATCATCGTCATCAAACTGTATGTGTCCACTGCTGGACATAGGTCTCCCTTAGCTCTTTCCATCTGCCTCTGTCTTGTGCTGCTTGCATCCAGTCATTGCTAACACGCTTCAGGTCGTCCTCTGCTCCATATTGCTTCTTGTCTTAGTCTCTACTCCAAAGCTATTGCCTTGCTTAAACCTACCAAAGATCGTAACGATCCCAGAATCGACCGGTATCTTTGTTCCTTCACCTGTCAAACTGCTTGAACACGTGATCCTTAATAGAATTTTATCGATAATAGACGAACAACTCATTAAAGAATAAAATGGTTTTGGATAAAATCGCAAATTTTGAATCTCACCCAACATATTGAAGACAGTTATAAAAAACACCGGGTAACTAGGACATTGTGAGCACTATTTGCAAATCTTACCGCCGCGTAAACCGCAGAAAAACCTTTCTAGCCAAATTAGTCCATTTACAAGGTCCACCAGAAAGAGCTCGTCTTAGTAGATCGAAGGATACTATTCTCTCAATCGGCTGCGAGTCGGATTGACAAAGTGTAAAACCAACAAGGAGAAGTGGGAACTATAGTACCTGCTGACTCAGATAAACAATGTGAATATTTCGCCCTAAAAGATCCAGATTTCATTTACTTATCTGCCCTCTGTTAGAGCAACCCTGTACAGAGTTAGACCTTTTTCATGCAAATTATACCATTTCTAGACTGCTATTTTTTGGATGACAAAAATATGATTTGACAGAACTAAACAGATATTTTTTTTAATTTTAGTTTGAGACAAATGGACCTTGAAGTAATGAAGAGACTGCACCGTAAAGTTAACATAGTAGTAGTAATTGCCAAAGCAGATACCCTCACATCATCTGAAGTTGCCAAATTAAAAGCAAATATTCTTAACGATATTCGAGACAACGATATTCAGGTAGGTATTTTTTTTTATTTTTTTATAGCTGTTTGTATATCCCCACTTTCTTAAGTTCGAAGTGTTATGTTATGTGAACCTACTTTAATATTTGTAAACCTACCTTAACATGAGTGACAGGTGAAGGGGATGGACAGCGGACAGCGAGAGGAAAACGATGGCTCGTTAGATATAATCATGTATTAAGTTTAGTTGGTCTTTAATAAAAGATATTAAAAAGAAACTGGTCGTCAATATTATTAAAAGCCCACAGAGACAACGTAACACGAAGTAATAACTTGATGAGCTTTCCAATTCTCCCTCTTTAAATTAAAACAGTACTGTTTTCTGTTCCCTGTACTAATGTTATGCATGAAAGGGGAGTTTTTGGAGGTAAACAATTTAACAATTAATGAAATTGTAATAAGTAGCAATAAGTGTTAGGCAACATTTGGGACCGGGGACCTAAATCAGTAATAACTTGCCCAATGTTATCCAATTCGTCGATCGTCACTGGCTTATCGTGATTGGCGATTTTACATAACTCTATAGAAAACAGCAGTGTTAAATCGCTCGATGTTTCAGGGAAAGTTTTAACAGAAAATCAATTATATATTATTATATGTCAAAATAGTATTTTTTAATGTTAATACATATATTTTTCTTTCGCGACAAGTTTCACTCTATATTTGGGACCCATCAGTCAGTGATGAGTCCCAATCAGTCAGCAGTATTCTTCTCCATATTTCTTACTCTACCGTGCATGGGCGGCATATTCAGCACCAGAAGACATGAATGCCCTCTCCTTTACCTCTAAAGGTCTGTTCTTCGTTCATATTACATGTTTTGCCATACATTTTTAGAAAAATTGATAGTAAAACACTATGGTACAGAGCTAGAAGTACATAGAAAAGGTAGAGGCACATTGAAAAACAGACAGTCATGTCTATATAACAACAAGGAGAAGAAGAGGCTATACATTTGGGGCTAATCAGAGAATTGCAGATCGAAGACAGATTAGGACAGAGGAGGACAAGTGTCTTAACCAAATTGTCTAAGCAGTGGACATACACCATGCTTTAATGACTGAAAGTAGATATCACATTTTGTTTACCGTGGAATTGAAATCAAAACATTTATTCTGCTAAAATGCAAATGCAACTAACTTAAAAAAAAGTCGATGTGAAATCTTGTTACCTTTAAAGAATCTGCCTTTAATGCCATAGCAGGTCCTTTATATAGCAATAATTTAGTCTGGAATAATACTCTATAACATCCAAAGGCTTAGAGGATCTTCGTACTAATCATCTTGATAGGGGGCCAATCAATCTAAATATACAATCTTTATTTTCGATCTTGGTCGTCTGATATGGTATACAACTCGTTGATCTGGGTTATCACAGACCTTTCCATGACTTCTGTAGTTTTAGACACTTTTCCCGTACAGAGCACCGGGTTATATATATATATATATATATATATATATATATATATATATATATAAATATATAAACACTGTAGTTGGCTTGAATATCGTACCGCGCCTTTATCCGCTGCTTTTCTTTCTTAAACGTTCTTATCTACGATATCAAGTCTGTCAACTAATTTTCGAATATAGATATCGTTGAATTATGTACAAATAGGTATAAGTATACGATACAAACAATAAATCTACAGGTAGCAACTCTTTACTAAACAAGACGATTGTTGGTGTTCTTCCTATGCACTCATGGATAGAGCTTCTGTATGCCAAAAGTTAAAAAAAAAGATAAAAACGATAAAAAAACAGCTGCATATATTGGTATCTATACTGTGAAACAGTCCAACAATGTCGACAGCGATTCTTAAAAAAAGGTGCACACACCAAATATTGCTTCCTCTAGCTAGTCTAGCTCCTCGTTCTAGGGCCTTCACTGGCCGCACAGTATGTGCATTGATGCACAAACCTCAACCATACAAGGAATATTTTGCAGTAGCAGCGATTTTTTTTCGCTAACGCCTTGTTTATTCCCACATGGAATCCAGATAAACTACCGTGACACTTCAGTAGCACCTCACCAATTCTGCTTTTTGGGATAAAAATTTTTACTTGGTATTGGTTTCAATCAGGTCTTGTACATCTACTATACAAGACATCATCAATCACTTCTAGCGAGTTCCATTGTGCTCAATAAATAACTTACTTTCTCCATAGTAATCAAAATTTGTGCAATGTTCTTTTCCGCAAGTTGTTCAAGGTAAACAATTAGAAGAATTATAGTGGTTTTTTTAGTTAAATATCTGCTTTTACATAATTGGCTATAACTTTTAATTCTTTCGCTTTCGCTTTGCTATAGTATCTGCAATCTTCATTCTACAAAGAGTATCGGAATTTTGATGTTGTTTTTTCCTTCAGGCCAGGAGTTTTGCAGATGCTAGAAACTGTTCTTAATAAACCGACTAACTGATTGTACCATCTGATGTTGGTGGTTGTATTATTTTAGTAGAATGTGGAGTGAATTGACCAATATTTGTCTGGTTCGTCGTTCATCCATCTTCTTCTTCTTAGCTTTCTATCGTCCATGTTTGGACATGGGCCTCTCCCAACTCCTTCCATCGGTCTCTATCCTGAGCAACATATTTCCAATTTGTTCCGGCTATTCTTTTAATGTCATAAACCCATCTCATCTGTGGTCTTCCTCTTGGTCGTTTACTTTCGTAAGGCTTCCAATGTTATATTGTAGTATTCCCAACGTTGGTCTTTTTATCTAGCAATGCGGCCCACGAAGCTCCATTTAAGTTTGGCAATTTTTGTTGTTATGTGGTGCTGCGTTCATCCATATAATTTCTTAATTCTTGTATCTCCATGCGTAGCTGCGAAGTAATATCTTGTCTCTCTACATATCTACGCGCAGTTCAAACTTTGCACCACTTAACTATTTGTCACCAGGGGCCTTAGTCGTGGACTAATACGCACCCCAATGCGCATCTTACAACCTTAAAACATCTTCCAACACTCGGCATGTCCTGGCCTTGAGTCCCAAATAGGGTCTCCTGTATCCTGGGAACCTAATGTGATGGCTCTGCTCCTGTTCTTCGAACTTAGACTCTGTGGCTGGATTTTCTCCCTCATTTCAAAAGTGTTTTTATTTCATTTCCCATGCAATAAATATCGATTATCCACCAAAGATGGAATCCACTCATACGGCATTTCGAATTGACTGGTCGAAGTCCCTCTGTAAGACACCGTGGGAGTGGATAAGTGGCCATGCATTTCCAGGCTCTTACGTCTTATCTGGTATTTAAGAATTAATGCCCGATTTTTTTTTCTAGTTTTTCACCCAACATTTCTATCAGTCCTGCATTTGATTCTGATTGTCTTTCAGTTTATTTTGAGTGTGTTCAATGTTTTCTTGTATGCATGTATGGCTCATCATAGTTTATAGCATAGATAGCATGGAAACATCGTACATCTTGTACGTAAAAATCGACCACTGTAGCCTACTTCTGATACCAAATGTTTCGTATGATTCTTTTAAAAACACTGTGGGATTTAAAATTAACATTTTTATTCGGCTAAAACTTAAATATAACATTTTTTTTCCAGTCTTTTTTGCTTATTTTGTTTGTGCTTTTGAAAAACATTTTCCAAACAACTCCCTATATGCTCTTATTTGAGTTGTCATACTTGTACTCGTTAGGAATACAAATGAACTAAAAATTTTTAATGTGATTTCAACGATATTTCTTCCCGACTAAATATTGATAACGAGAATTCGCATATTCGAGCTTTTATTGAAGTTTTACATAGTATTTTTTATAAATCTAATTCAATCAAGCAATTCTCAACTCACGTCTGCATCAAGCTTCTACAACTGTATATATGCTATAATGTAAATAATATTGGCCGTTTTAAATTTACTGATGAAAAAAATGCCATGCCTTCAATTGCCGATATGTTAAAAGAACATAGATTATATTGCAATCAGATTATTTACCCCTGCAAAACATCGTCCTGTTCTCACACATAAATAAATAGACTACTCGATGCTGATTTCATTTTAATAATATTTATTACAAATAATTAATCAATACCTTATGATTTTCAGATGTATGAATTTCCAGAATGTGATAGCGATGAAGATGAAGAATTTAAGCAACAAGACCGAGAACTAAAAGCGAGCATTCCATTTGCTGTGGTGGGCAGCAATACCACTTTAGAAATAGCTGGAAAGAAAATCAGAGGACGGCAATATCCATGGGGTGTTGTCGACGGTAAGATGCATAAGAGATGCTTAAACTTGAAAACAATTGTATTAAGTGTTTGTAAAATTTTATACAAATTGTTGAACCATAATTTGTTTATCTGCATGATGTATTCCAAGTCAATATCAAATGCGTGTTTCTGGTCTAATACCGATATTAAAAATTTAATAATTATTTCTGCTTTTTTTAGTGGAAAATCCAAAACACAGTGATTTTATCAAACTCAGGACAATGTTGATCTCAACCCATATGCAAGACTTAAAGGATGTTACAGAAGACGTACATTATGAAAATTTCAGGGCTGCGTGTATTTCCCAAATTTCTCAGCATGCACGAGAACGAGGGTAAGAAAAAATGGTTCATATAGCATAACCAATATGTTTTTTTTGTAAAATAACCTTCATATACGTTGTGTGATCAAATAAGTGTTTCATATTTATTGTTTCATACACATGGCTTTTCACATACCTTATTTACCTCAACAGTTATATTTAAACTCTTATCATTTGGGCCCTTACGTCTATATAAAAAGTTACAATAATTTATAGCTACGTATTTAAAGGGTATAGCCGGATAAGAATCTAGTACGTACCTAGATACGTTAGTTCAACCATTAATGCGCATGCTTAGGTATATTTCAAAGACATATACCTAAGCATGCGCATTAAATGTAGAGAGTTTTTGTGAAATAGTGTCCGATTTGACACCAGTTATCTTTATAAATAATAAAATTGCAAACATAAACCTCCAATTTCTCCAGCATTTCGTTGCTCTCCTTTACTAACACAATATCATCTGCAAAGAGCATTGCCCAATAAGCCCCCCTCACTTTAATTTCTCTGTCAGTATATCCATAACAAGAATAAACAGAGAGGGACGCAGTAAAGAGCCTTGATGAAAACCTACCGTCACTGAAAAACGTTCGGTCACTCCAACACGAGTAAGAAACTTTAGATTTTACTATTCACTGGGATGGTGAATTACACCTAGGGTGTAAATTTAAGGCGCCATCTCTATTGTGGAGGATTCCTGGTGCTTCTATTTCTTTGATTTCCCTTATTATATTATATTATATTGTTGTTGTATTGTAGTGTAAAGAAGATGGTATTTTTGTTAGAACTGAGGTCTGTTTTTAGGCCCGTTGCTCTTAAATATTAATAAAGTTCCCGAGATTTACTTATATCTACCCAACTTTTGTTCATCTATCTAAGTAAGCAATAGTATTGAAGCCAGTCTGTGAGACTTTCACGTCCCTAAGAATGTCATACGGGTGCAACAATTCATTACGGCGAGGGGAATTAGCTCGTGTAATCCTCCACTCTCAATAACACACTGATGTGCTACAGAGGCTTCAAATCAGCAGAATGTTGGTCATGTGGAAGCCCTGAGTACAAGAACTCCTGCATGATAACCTACCCCGAACGTTACAGGACTGTGTGAGGCGCTTTAGTCTCGTTATCTTTGGTGACTTATCATCGAAATGTAATGCTTGCTCGGTCACCGAGTCTCCGGGCTGGGCCTACTTCTGCGACACGGTGCTTGAAGGGTGTGGAGCCTTTGGCCCGTTTTTGAGATTTGTTTTTTGTGGCTTGCTTCATTTTTTAGTGTTTTAGTAATTTTTTGGAGCCAAAGCCATTTTTTGTGTTAGTTTTGAGTTTGGTGCGTTTTGAGGGCTATCTGAAATATTTGGGTCTTCTATGCTTCCATCTATCTACACCATATATCTACACCTTATACCTTGGGTGGTCTTCTAGCTCAGCTAATTTTTTTCTGGCTTTTTCTTTCATCATCTATCCATTACCCCCATTTGTTTTAGATGTCTGAACAAGAAACGTTTAACGACGTATCTTGGACACATTTGCAGCTTCTCTAAGGAAGTTGTTGTGTACTGCTTGTATCTTTATGTTGTTATTGTAATTATTGGTAGTATACTGTTTATTAGTTTTGTTTTTAATTTACTTCTTTCTGTGTGTACTCTTATTGTGGCTCTGGCCGTTGCTGTTTTACACTGCCAGCACAGTCAGCTCTTCACTGTTCTTCTGGGTTAGCCTTTCTCTTTTTGAAGATGACTGCTTGGATCTTCTCTGGATTTATTGTTGTTTTCCATTGGATATTCCACTCTTTCATTGTATCCAGTAAATAAATTTCTTACAGCTATACCCAGGTTTCTGTATTGTGCCGCGTTCTTGAAACGTCCAGTGTGGTATTCCAGTTTTCGGGGCTCTATTTTTTATTTTTACTAAATTCAATGCTACAATCTTCGTTATGGGACTCATTTTTATATTGTATTAGTTATTTGTTTCTTATTTTTATAAAGCATAATTCTTTTGCGTTATTCTTTTTATACTTTATAAACATATGTTTTGTTATTTCAGGAAACTAAAAAGAGATTCAACCCCATATGATTCAGATATTTCTGAAACAGATAGGCTACTAATACAGAAGGACGAAGAGGTAAGTAAATATGTGTTTAAAATAGATGAAGATCGCTTACAGTCTTTATGCCCACTGCCACATATTCTTACTCTTCTATTTTTCGATGTAAATATATTTAATGCATTAGCTAAGAATGTTTGATATTAAAAATAAATAAAAAAAAGAAACCATAATACATAGCCTCAATTAATCTAAAAAGATGAAATTATGTGTTGGAAGTGAAATTATTTACAAAAAATGACAGATTATACTATTTAGAGATACTAAACAAATACTGTTTACTATCTCTGCACAAATGAGATGAGAGCGTTAGAGGAAAGTCACATAGATTATCGGTACTCCAAAGTGACCGCGAATATATACAATAATGCAACCATGACCGTAAGATTACACAAAGATGCAAAATGTATAAAAAATCAAAATCAATGAAGTTGGTCTGAATATAAATTTTAGAAAGACACAATACATGGCAAGTATGTACCAAGTGAAAATCCAAAAGTGAATTGCAACGAAATAGGATTAGTTCATAAATATAAATACTTGGGTCATAAAATCCAAATGGCTATGGACAACCAAACTGCTGAACTGCAAAGAAGAATCACTTTATCATGGCCCGCATATGGAGCTCTATCAGACATCTTTAAGAGCAGCATGCCAAATTATTTGAAAAAAAAGACATTCGACCAATGTGTCCTTTCAGTCGTGACTTACGACGTCGAAACACTTTCCTTAGCCCAGACTGCAGCAACTAAACTCAGAGTAGCCCAAAGACGAATGGAACGCTCGCTACTTGGACTGACTCTCAGGGGCCGAGTTAGAAACAAAAAATAAAAGAGGGACACGCGTCACAGGTATCGTAGAGTCCATAGCATGGCTGAAGTTGAACTGGCGAGGACATGTAGCCAAAATGAATGACGGGCTGTGGGCCCAAAAAATTACACCATGGATACCACGAGCTGATAGAAGAATCAGAGGTTGACCACCTACACGATGGATAGACGACGTCAAAATAATCGCAGGAAATTGGCTGCAGGATGCTAAAGACCGACAAATCTGGAATAAGTTAGTGGGGGGCCAGTGTTCAACTTTGAACGCACAAGGCTGCATGATGATAATGAAACATATATATATTCAGGGATTCTATAGTGTTTATTCTCTTTATCCATTTGCTGTCGCTAGTTCTTCTTACATGTCTATACCACTATAGTCTTTTTTGTTCTATATATGTTAGTATATCTGTTTCTATTGATGTTCTTTGCTTTATTTCGTCATTACTTCTCCTATCCATTCTTGTTACTCTGCAGCATCTTCGCAGTCATTCCATCTCTGTTAATATTATCTTACTGCTGTTTTTCTTGTTTATAATTCAATTTTCGGCCCCATATGTCATAATACTTCGCACTGTTTTCGCAATGTTTTATAAATCTGTGTTTTTGTCTTCATATTTCGATGTCTATCCCACCATACTGAGTTAAGTTGTCGGATTGCTGTTCTTGTTTGTCCTAATCTTTGCATAATTTCTTCCTCTGTTGTTGCCTTTTCGTGATTATAAACCCCAAGTATTTGAATTTATCCTTTCCTTTGATTGTTACGTTTTCATCAATCTGTAGATCTTCTATGTCTTCTTCACTTGTAGATAGGTACTCTGTTTTCCGCGAGATTAATATATATATATTCTTCTTGTAGTTTCTTCATCGTGTAGCTGAGGTCGTCTTGGTCTTATGCAATCACTACTTGATCGTCTGCAAAGCTTAACCTATATAGGTATTCGTTACATACCGGTACTCCCATGTCTTCGCATTTTCTTTTTCATGTAGTAAAAGTTTTCTCTAAGTAATATTTTGAATATGGTTGGAGATGTGGAACAACCCATTCAAGAGCCCTTTTGGGGTGCTGAAGTCTCCTATGAATCTTGTTCCCACTTTAATGGACACTTTATTTTCTTTATACAGAGTTTTATGTAGCTTCTATGAGTTCCGTCTGTATTTCTAATCTCTACATTTGTTTCAAAGTCTCCTATGATTCTTGTTCCCACTTTAATGGACACTTTATTTTCTTTATACAGAGTTTTTGTAGCTTCTATGACTTCCGTCTGTATTTCTAATCTCTACATTTGTTTCATGAAAATGAAATTGAATATTGAAATTATGAATTTGTTTCGTGATAATGAAACAAATACTTACAAACAGATGCTTAAAATAGTTCAGGTCTACTCTTTAACTTGTTCACAGACCAAGAAAGAACTGGATATATTCGTCAAATATATTATAAGTAAAATAAATAATTCAAAAGCCGATTATGAAATAATTTAAATAAGTGCACATGGTAAAGTGTATATACACCAAATTAGAAGAACACATAAGTGAAGTTCAATTTGGATTCGCAATGAGAGACGCACTTTTTAGCTTGCAAGTTCTAATATAGAGGGCCAGAGATGTCAACAGCGATATGTATGCATGTTTCATTGATTTCGAGAAGGAATTTGAGAAAGTATCGCATAAGAAACTAATCAATATCCTAAAAACATCAGGATCCGATGGTAAGGATATCAGATTAATCTCAAACTTATATCTCCAACAAAAAGCATCAGTGTGATTCGAAAATGAATTGTCTGAGATCTTCACAGTCGGAAATGGAGTTCGACAGGGTTGCATATTGTCAACAGCATTATTTAACATATACTATGAAAACATATTTAGAGAAGCCCTGGACGAATCAGAAGATGGTATCGCAGTAAATGGCCAACTTACAAACAATATTAGATATGTAGACGATACCGTATTTCTGGCAGATAGTACGCAGAAAATCCACAAGATGATGGATAATGTTGTAGAAACATGTTACAGATACGGACTAAAACTAAAGTGTAAGGAGACAAAATAATGATTATTGGTAAGAACACCAACATTACAAACGCCCAAATTATAATAAACCATACACCTTTAGAAAGAGTGGAGAAAATATGCTATCTGGGTTGCAATATTAAGAATACCTGGGATCATGGCTAAGAAAGAAAAAAATGTTAAAATAGTTATACACATCTACAACCGATCTATTCCGAATAGCTGTCAGCAAGATAAGGATAACCATGTTAATCACCGACATTCGGAACGGTGAGACATCGAAAAAAGAAAGAAAGAAGCCTAATAGTCACTATTTGGTTGTCTAGACCAACGCAACAAGAATAATTTTTTAGTCTTTCTTAGTATGCCTTAACGTGTTATTTGTATCGTTTCTACAATTATTTTTTAATTTAATTTTTTATTTGTTTTAGATTCGTCGGATGCAAGAAATGCTAAAGCAAATGCAAGAGAAACTCAAAGTTGATGCTCAAGACAACAATAAAAAACACGAAAGTATTATCGATGTGTAGATTTTTATTATTTATTTATTAAACTAGTTTTTAATTTATCAATTTAAGACCAAAGACGTCTAGTTAAAATGTTTTTTTCATATTTATATCAATATTTATATGCGTAATGTATGTTATAAAAAATATATAGTTAAAAACTTTTGTTGTGTTTTATTATTTTTGTTTAAAAACTCTTCATATATATATAATTATATATATATATATATATATATATATTATATATATATATATATATATTGTGCTTGTGCACCTTCAATACTTCTACAAATCAAAAGGTATTAACACTAAGGTATTCAAAGTTGAATCGAACCTAGATGTGGCATTTGATCATAGTCCAGTTATCTTAACTATGTTTACTAACATAGAACAAAAGCCTATACCTTCATCATACAGATATCACTAACTCAAGTGAAAAATGCTTTGAGGGATTCACAAAGAATGTACAAAAATGTACGTGATTGATTAGCTACGACACAAAGTAGTTCATCAACTGACAAAGAACATTGTCTGGTAATAGTAAACAAAAAATATCAGAAAAAAATAATCTTAGAAAAATATGACAACAAAACAGCACATAAATTAATAAGAACAAATTCAATACCTCTGCAAATCGATACAAACTTTTATTGTCTCCTTCAAATAACAATGAATACTCACTCTGGAAAGCTACAAGATACCTAAAGAAGCCTATAAAGTTGGTATCAACAATCCGAAATACCGCTGGACAATGGTCAAAAAAATAATGCAGAAAAAGCCAAAGTATTCGGTGAACATTTAGTAAAAGTATTTGGACCACAAAATTTGTATTAAGCCCCAGAGAAACTTAAAATATAGGGAGGGTCTTAGACGAGCCGATTCAGATAGTTAAAAATAGAGAAATGTGTACACAGAGAATTGAAATCTACTGCCATGAAAGAAATCGACCCGAAAAAATTTCCTGGCTACCAACTTATAACGAGGGAAGTCTTACAAAAGCTACCCAGTAAGGGTACGAGTTGTATTCTGCAGATATTTACGACTATTTTAAGACAGTTATTTTCCGCAGCAATAGAAAGTAGCGGAAGTCATAATGGTGCCGAAGCCAGGAAAGAAATTACATCATATAGGTCAATCACTAATATTGCCAATTCTATCCAAATATTTGAGAAGTGTTATTAAAAAGACTTTAATCCTACCCTAGAAAAAAAGATCATACCTGATTACCAGTTTCGGTTTCCGTCGTTAATAGTTACATAGAATTGTTGAAACGGATGAATTGATGAACGGAATGAAACAGATCTACAACAATCTAGAAAATAGACGATACTGTTTTTAATTGTTCAAGTGTAGTTATACCAAAAACAGTTACCTATAACAAACACAAAAATAAGTTATAACAAAAGAATTAACAAGAGAAAAAGTCTTTATTTTGATGAGACTTATCTAATAAGCTGCAACAAAAGTGTATTAAGCGAAACAGTTATAGAACTGAAACGAGAAGCTGCTACGGTTGGTCTAATATATAAATGAAAGCAAAACAAAATATATGGAGTGCACAAAAACGAAATAACATGAGAATCTCAAAGTAGACAACCATACCTACAAATATGCCTCCACTTTTCCTTACCTAGGCTCAATAATAAATGACAACAACATCAGTCAAGAAATACAAGCACGGATTCTTAGCGGTAATAAGACTTAATGAAAAGTAAGTTACTGAATCGTGAGTCTTAGCTTAGAATTTACAAAACAGTAATTAGACCAGTGGTCACATATGGATGTGAAACGTGGACCCTCTCAACCACTGATGAAAATCAACTGAGAATATTTGAGCGCGAGAAAATACAAAGGAAGATATTTGGACCAACCCAATGCAGCGATGGTTCGTGGAAAAATTAAACTGAACCACGAGCTGGATGAACTAATGCAGTGCCCAAATATTGTTAGATTTGTAAAGTCACAAAGACTAAACTGGCTTGGTCATCTAGAAAGAATGGCAGATAAACGAGCTGTAAAAGTAGCCCAGAGATAGAAGCCCCAAGGAAACAGAACAAGAGGAAGACCTCGTAAAAGATGGATAGACGATGTAGAGACAAGTCTTAAAACCATGAACATCAGGCAGTGGCAGTGGCGCACCCAGGGGAGGTTAACCCCCCCCCCCCAGGACCCTATTTCAATACTGTTATTTACAAATTTTAAGGACTTAAAATGGTGGAGGTAGCATAAAAAAATTTCGGTGCCTAACCAAAACCCCCCCTCCACTAGAGGAAAATTCTAGGTGCGCTACTGGGCAGTGGCGAAAGAAAGTATCCGACAGGGCAGAATGGAAGAACATTGTTAAGCAGGAAGGGTTGTAGCAGCATTAGAAGAAGAAGATATCTAAAAAATTTTACTCGAAGCGATTTGGGAAATTTTTTTTTTTGTTATGAGTTATTAGTTACATTGATAATTTTTCGACTGTTCTAACAACCATTCAAATTTCATCATTTTGTGTCATGTGGAACAATTTCATCCAATCATGTCAACATTAGACTGATAATTGCATTCAGTGCAATTTTCAATCCCTATGACAACACGATCGAGTTTGACAACTTCATCCAAATAAATTTCAAAATGTCACGTTTCGATTATAAATATTATGCGTGGTAATAGATCTTCTATAGTAGAAAACAGCAACGAATCTATTGTTAACTTAAATTTTAATAATTGTACCTACTTTCACTAACTGTACATGTTTCGTTATGTTAAGTTATGATTTTTTTTTCGAAAAATTATCCGCCGAATATCCCTCGGACATTGATGAATGCCTCATAATTTCATGACAAATTTCTCAAGCTCGTTGCTTGGTAACAGCACTCAGGCTTCGGCTTCGTGTTGTTACCAAGGAACGAGCTTTCTCAAAAACAAAAAAAATACATTTGAACTTGAAAAATATATGGAATCAAATAGAAATAATTTAGTGTGGTAGAAATGCAAAAAAAAAAATTAGTCAGTATATTCCGCTTCTAAACGTCTTTTTAGAGGTAAACCGCTTGCCTCTAGTGAGTTCGACCTCTAGGTATTTAATCTACTGTCGGAGTTAAATTACTGAGAAATAATTAAATATAAGTCATACAAGTTATAATTTATTTACAGGGTACTGTAAGTTGCCTACATTTCGTACAACTCGGTGAGAAAATACTGCGGCGCGGCGTTCTTGATACATTACAATATATAGTTTTGATTTCCACTCACTCACTTGTCATAGCAGGAGGTGAGTTTATTGCACATGTGGGCCAATCCAAGATAGGATATAAAGCGATACAGAGGGGACTAGCCTTTGGAATTAAAAATTATGTAGATCATAATATGTTGCAATACAATAGCACTAGATACAACAATTATAACCATTTTGAAATTTACTTTTTCATGACCAGAAGAGATTAGTTATAATCAGTGAGACTGTAAGCCAATATTAGTTACCTACTGGTACTGGACATTAAAGTAAGATACGAAATGAAACCAAAATATTGATATTTAAAGGCGTAGAAGAAGGCTTCTTTACAGCAAAAATTGTTCGTAGTGGTAGTTAATATTAGTAGTCTATCGTTTGTCATTATTTGTTCGTGACCATATCAGATAAACTATTTTGTTCCAATATCAATGTATGTTAAATCCCATGACGTCTCGAATTTTACTAGTTGCCACCCTTTGACGATGGAATTTTCCAGCAGCCAATCACCAGAAATTATATCTCAGTTGCAGATAAAGGTATAGATACACATGAGCAAATGAGCTATCAGAGAAATGAATAGGAGAGGAGCAAAGGCAAAATAGCAAGAGAGATGGTTCAGTAAGACATTAAGACAATAGAAAATGTTGGTATAAATATAAATATAGAACAAAAGAAGAGGACAAATCTGGTGCCCAATCAACACATTAAGTATTAACAAAACAGATGTACAACTGGTGAATGAATGTAAATACCTGGAACTTAAAATCAGGAAATTAATAAAGAAGAATAATTAAGAAATAAAAACGAGAAAAAGAAGAATGACTCAAAACGCGATGAAAGGGCGACATTAACAAAAAACTAGATAAGAACATTGTAAAACAGAGGAGTTTGAAGGCAAGGGAAGAACGCCTTTGGTCAGCATTATTGATGTATAAAAGTAATGCATGTATACAAGTATTCATACAAATCCTTGTTGACTATGAAAGACTACATTTAAGACCAAAAAATATGCTTAAGAGATGCTGATTTTGTAAAAAGATAAATTTCCTAACTTAAAGCCACATATTCTGAACATCTTAAAATGAATATATTCTAGCAGAGTTACTACTTCACTAAAAACAAATCAGAAATACAAGAAAAGAGGATACAATGTATATTATAGGTCACAGTGTCACTCCTACCCTTAATATATTCGCAAAATTACTTTATCACGTCAATGTAGGTGTTCGTCGTGGGGATCAATACTGCTACCATTTCAATTTTTTTATTTTACTTTTTATTGTTACATAACGTGAATTGTTGAAAAGTAGCAGTCTCATTTTTAAATTATGTATATCCATATACTCGTATATAGTCGTAAATATTTTAACATAATGAAGACCTAACTTTTTGATTACCCTGACCTTTTCCTTAATTTACGACTACCCAAGTTTACAACATTGTACGAAATTATGTGTTACTTTTAGCTATCATGCAATCTCAAAATAAAATTCTCTCACGTTTACATCCCTGCCAACTTACACCAAAAAAAGTGTTTACGGACATTTTAAAAAATAATCATTTTAAATTTTCTATTAAAAGGTGAACTCTTAAGACACCTTATTATACAGGGTATTAGTAAATAATTGCGACAAAATGAAAAAATATTGACAGTTTGCTACATAAATGTATGTCCGCAAATATTTCGTTTTCCGAGATACGGGATGTTGACATTTTTCTTACAACTGACGATTTATTTATTGCTCTGAAACCGGTTGTGATATGAAAATAAAATTTGGTGAGTTTTAGTCATCGTTACGTGTGTACACGAACACATCGTTTAGATTTTGTACTGTAATTCTTCTTACGTGCTTACCAATTAAATATTACTTTTTAAATTTATTATCTGTTATCAATATGATATTGTAAACCAGTGGCGTACCCAGAGGGGAGATTTGGGGGTTAA